TTTTTCTTCCATTCTTGAGATACTTTGCTAAGAAGAATATTTTCCAGCTCCATCCATGTAAACATGAAGGAGGTAAAGTCTCCATCTTTCTTTAGGCTGCTTAGTATTCCATGGTATACATATACCACAATTTATTAATCCATTCGTGGGTCAGTGGGCACTTCGGCTTCTTCCATGACCTAGCAATTATGAATTGGGCTGCAATAAACATTCTGGTTCAAATATCTTTGTTGTAGTGTGATTTTTTTTTTTTTTGGTCTTCTGGATATATACCTAGTAGAGGAATTGTAGGATCAAATGGCAGGTCTATTTTTAGTTCTCAAAGTGTTCTCCAGATGTCTTTCCAAAAGGAACTTATTAGTTTGCAATCCCACCCGCAGTGTAGAAGTGTTCCCTTTTCTCCACAACTATCCTTTTCACGTCTAAATGAGATCATGTTGCTTTTCTTCCAAAGGCTCGTTAGTTCACCCAGAGTAAAAGCCAAAGTCATCACACTTTTTGTCCCTAGCAAAAGATGCCACCTTGTAAATCCCTCCTCCATTCCATGTCTTCCTTTACACAGTCACAGCCACAGTTGTAGGAAGGATACAAAGAAGAGTACGTGGTAAATGGGCTCATTTATCCTCTGGCAAGAGAGATAAATTTTCATTCATTACTTATGCTACAATTTTAGCAGAACATCAGCTGGATTTCTCTGGATTCCTTAGTCATACTTCCCTTGAGAAAGAGGGATGGTCTCATATGTGTATGAATGATATCATGATCATAGTTCTTAAATTATTGTGATAAATACATTTAGAAAACTAAAACATTTCTCAAGGGAAAACAAATATATCACTTTTTCACTTTTTTATAAGTTTTTAGAAAACTGATGTGGTCATCAAGGCTTAACAATTAGTCTTACTGCAATATTAGGTTGTGATTTATGACTTTGAACAATTCTGTACAGTACAGAGTGTCCCCCAAAACAACAAAGATTTCAATCCAAATAATAGCTGCATTTTGTGTCAGAATAACTAAATTGGTTCTTAAAGATAACACATTCATTAATATCTCCAGAGTCATGGACACCTAGAATGATGGAGTTGATTCTATTGTGTTTCAGGCAAAACTAGGACAAAAACCCCAGGGCTTTTCCCTCTCAATCCTGTGAATACCGTTTTTCATTGCTATATTTTCTGTGAAGACGCTTACATTAAAATGTATATTCAGCGTGCCTTGCTAAGTTGTTCTGGCAGCTTATATGAAATATGCTATCTTCGATAGTATTTTAAAACAAATGTGTTCAGTTCCTTATCTAGTCTACCCACATTTGTGAATGCGCTTTCAACATTTCTCCTTCTCTGTCTTAACAGAAGCCCAAGTTTCTTATCCCTGAGGATCTGAGGGAGAAAAACGAAAATCTTCTACTCAACCCCGAGAAGACTACTAAGGTCTTGATGAAGACCAGCCAAGATCAAGCTTTGAGTAAGACCACAAGGTCAGCGTCAAATAAGTTGCTTGAAAAACATCAACGAGATAATACTCTTTTCAAGAAGTTTAGCACGATGAATTGGCCCTTGGACATTCGCCCTTTAAATAAAAGTTTAATCAAAGACGATACATGGAAGAAAACTGATGAGGCCCAAGAGAGACGCAGGTCTTTCCTTCAGGAGTTTTGCAAGAAGTACAGTGGGGTGAGTCGTCCTCAATCACACCTTTTTCATATGGTATCCAGAATCTATGTAGAAGACAAACACAAAATCTTATATTGTGAGGTGCCGAAGGCTGGTTGTTCCAACTGGAAAAGAATTCTGATGGTACTAAATGGATTGGCCCCCTCCACATACAACATCTCCCATGACGCTGTCCACTATGGGAAGTATTTGAAGAAGCTAGATAGCTTTGACTTACAAGGCATATATACACGTCTAAATACCTACACCAAAGCTGTCTTTGTCCGGGATCCCATGGAGAGATTAGTGTCAGCATTTAGGGACAAATTTGAACACCCCAATAGTTATTACCATCCAGTATTCGGAAAGGCAATTATAAAGAAATATCGACCAAATGCCTGCAAAGAAGCATTAATTAATGGATCTGGAGTCAAATTCAAGGAGTTCATCCACTATCTGCTGGACTCTCACCGTCCAGTAGGCATGGACATTCACTGGGAAAAGGTCAGCAAACTCTGCTATCCTTGTTTGATCAACTATGATTTTGTAGGGAAATTTGAAACTTTGGAAGAGGATGCCAATTACTTTCTACAGTTGATTGGTGCTCCAAAAGAGCTGAAATTTCCCAACTTTAAGGATAGGCACTCTTCTGATGAAAGAACCAATGTCCAAGTTGTGAGACAGTATTTAAAGGACCTGACTAGAACTGAGAGACAATTAATCTATGATTTTTACTACTTGGACTATTTGATGTTTAATTATACAACTCCATTTTTGTAATTTGCCTTCATTTTCTAAAGCCCCGTATTTACTAAATAATGATTAGTTCAAATCAGCTACTGTAATTTTCCTGTAATTCTCTGTATGAGAGGAACTTAAACAATTGCAGTTGTCTTGATTTAATGAAGATATCTACCAAATCGTATGATACCAATTGGCACAAAATTATAGGAAACTCACCTAAAAGAGACATGTAAACAACTCGAGTTGCTCTAAAATGTTTAAAAAAGAGCTTTTGCATTATGGATTGTGTTGTTGAAGCAATAACCTAGCCAGCTGTTACATTAGCTAAAATAGCCTCTTGCAATGGCAAGAGAAAGGATTAAAGAGCATGAGAGTCTGTCTATATCCTGGAATTTATTGTCTAACGTGCATGAATATATTTTTAGCCATCTACAGCATATTAATCAAACCATTGACTAGTTTTCTTACGTGCTGGAAATCTTTCTATCCACCATAATGATAAATCCACTTTGAAAAGATACTTAAGATTTAGTCACTTTACTGTAGATTGAAAGGCATGTGATTTCTAGTACAAGAATATAGCAGAAAAACCAGATGAGGCCACGGCTCTTTATATTCGCCAGCCAATAAAAAATGCACAACATGCTAAGATCAAAGCAACAAAAGCAACCTTCCTCTTCCAGAAAAACTTAAGGGAATCGATTCTGTTTTCTTTTGAGCCCTCCACAAAGAGACAAAATGAACACAAGCACCAAAGGTCTACATTTCTGAAGCAGGCAGTTGAGAAGTTTAAGTCTCATCAGATATAAATGTGCTCCTAATTCTAGTTTAATTGGGCAAGGGGGAAATTGGTTCAGGATGGAATCATCGTCAAAAACAAAAGTTGCCATTCTGAATATAGACCTCGAACAATAACAGAGTTTTATAAGAATATTATTTGAATCAAAGCATCATGGCCCCAGCTTTATGTGGAATACACCCTCAGAATAGCTTTTGTTTTCAGTTTAATTATTCAGCTTGGGAATGACTTTTCAAAAACTAATATACCACTTCAAAGATAGGTTACATTCTAGAGAATAAACAGAACAAGAGCCCCTAGAAATGTTTTTAATAGGCTTATGCATAAGCAAATTAAGGTATTTTCTTTTTAAGTTTAAATATTCCATACTAACAAAGTCAAATGCTATTGTATTCAAATATTAAAATCAAAGTGTTGGGAAAATAGGACCCTGTGTCACCCTTACGAAAAGTTGTAATGCATTTTGGAGATTTTTTTCCGAGGGATCCTAAATTAAAAGACACATTTGGCTGAGAAACTTATTTCAATTGGTCTGCACCTACCCCGCATTAAGCACACCACATGTCAGTCAAGCCCTGTTTAAATGCCTTTCTTCACCATGCTTCTCTTTCTAAGCTGTTTTTTTCTTATCAGTAACACCTCTCAAAGAAGACTAGGCATTAATATTTGAATATTAATAGAGAAAGATAGTTCCAGTCATATTTATTTCATTTTGACTTTCCATTTCATGGCTGAGTATTCATGAATCGCTTTGCTCTTTACACACCTGCCATGTCCCATCTGTGTGTCTCCTACGGAGTGAGACAACGGCAACAGGCTGAGACATCCTAAGTATTAAACCTTCTAACCATTCTTTTACCACTTTTCCACTCCATTAACTCTTGCCTCTAGACCGTACGCATAAGGCGTCCTCTATGTTTTTAAGGAGTTTGACTCTAGAGTAATCTAAATTACATAATTTAAAATTTTGCTATAACACGTAGATTCCTAGTAACATAGGAACCTTGAAATTATCTTTTTATGGAGAGGTGTGTGGGGGAGAGAGAAGAGGAAATAGTCCAAGAAGCCTGAAATTGTATTCCTGAACTACACAAAACTACTTTTTAGATGGAATCTGCTATAAAGAATAAAAGCAATTTTCTCAAAGGTATTCTTAAAACCGTCTAAGGAAGGGAAAAAAACATTCTTTTCACAGCCTTGGAAAGAAAAAATTGGAAACTTTTTTTTCTATAAACATAGAAATGCTGATTAGCATTTCTAATGCATTGGGGAGGGCGGAATATATATGTAGTATCTATGTGATTGTTTGGCTTTGATGGTAGAAAAAAAGGGGTGACAGGAAGAAAATGACACCCCGTGGTCTCTGTGGAAACTTCTGCATCATTGCTGTACACACTCCTTTCCACTGAGCTGTGCAACCAGAGGTGGGCCTTCCCATCCCTCTTTTCCTAAATGGACTTTCAGGCTCTCTGATGCCAACTGACACCCCATGTCCCTCTGAGTTCTAAGGCCATGTGTGTTTTTGCCAAGGAAGAACAAACTTTTCAGGTACTTGCTTTTCACTCTAGATGACCTCTTATCACTCTAGATGACCTCTTTTCATGTCAGGGCCAAAGATGCCTGTGGTCATTCTGGATTCCTTGTGATTCTTAATAGCTACTCCATTTCTCTCTGCTCAGTTGCTCGGCTTTGCAGACCGACTCATTTCTGCCTGTGTATTAACCCAGGTGGGAGCATCACTGTTTCCTTTGGACAGTCACAGTTTCATGACTCGGGTTTCCTAAAGGCAAGTGGCCAAATCCAAACTCATCTTCCAGATGTCCAATATTCCCATTTTAACATTAGTGTGCATTAGGTATAAGTCTTCTAATTAAACCCTAAGGATCTTATTTGTTTTTATAGGCAGCGGTAGCACTATGGGAAGGCCTTTCACTCTGTTATTCCTCTGTCTAGAATTACTATCGGGGTAACAGGTTGGCAATTAAATCCAAGACCACAGTTATTTAACCTGTAAACAACTTAGAGATATGCATTATTGATGTGATATGCCCAGAAACGGCCACAGACTTCAATGGTAATGCATATACATCTAATTTTCTGATTTTCTCACATGTGTTTGGAAATGTCCACTAATCCAATGGAAATTTGAGGACACTTGACAAATTCTCTAACTTTGAAGTCTACAAAACATTCTCTATCAGAGAAGAGTGTTACTATTGGTATTAGATAATTGGTAGTTCTAATACTTGGATACCATTTATAATTAGAAAGAGGAAAAGATACTTTATTCATGAATAATTATTCTTATCTCCTAAAATATATACTATTGAGCAGAAATGATGTATAAGGAGATACAGAGAATTTTGAATATTAGAGTTCCCTTTGAAAAGATTCACGTACTGAGTTAGTAGAACTTGGAATTAGTCTGGGCTACAGCAAACATTTCTCTGCTGTGAGTTCTCACCTGGCTTCTTAGGGCATCGTGAGCATCAAGGCCTTCCTAGACTGGTAAAGCAGAAGCTTTGCTCATGGCTAATATTCCCACCATGTCCTTATAGTTAAATAATGATTGGCCATGGGTGTGTAGTCATTACTCAATCACCTAAGAACTTCAGGCCAGGGCTAATTCAGTTTAATCTTATCTTTAAGGTCATACCTTCTCAATCTCAATCATAATTATTATACAATAATAATATTCATAATCATAGCTAACATTTATTCAATACTTGGTATCAGGCACTAGGCACTCTTTAAGTTGTTTGCATGCATTAATGTATTCACCCTCCATAGCCAATCTAAAACAAGTATGATTATGTGCAGCCTTCTCCCTTCCCATATATAACAAAGGAAAGTAAACCAGAGTGTGGGTGAGGGACTTGCCTGAAGAGGGGCAGTTGATAAGGAGACAGGGAGGTAGGATGAACCCAAGGAGCACACGCCACTACCCAGCTCTTTCCTTAGAATAGTATAAACAAACACTAACAGTTGCTTTCCCTTACTTGTATTCTGAACAACTAAAGGCAAAATCTATATACTAAAATGGCAACATTTTTTCAATACAAATATGGGGGCTTATGTTACTTAATTATCACATTTCACATCTCTTTATTCCTTTATCCTTGCTGAGTTAAACTGACTGGTTCCAAGATTTTTGGAAGAAATTAGGCTTCCTTCCTTGTTATCTTTTTTTATCCTTAGTTGATCATGGGACACAATATTTTTAAAAAGTTATAGGGGAGGGGGAGTCCCTGGAACAAATTTAGCCTAACAAAAACAAAATATCATTTGACAAGAAACTCTAGACAGCTGCAAGAGTGGTCAAGGTTAGAAGAATCTGAGAAGGAGAAGGCCCAGGCCAACTTTCCCTCCATGGGCACTGGACAGTCCCTGCAGGTGCTCAGGCTGAGCAGGTGGATCACAGGAGACCTCCTGTTAAGATAACTCCCGCTAGACACCAAGCAATTGTGCCCTGTCTTTCCTGAGTTCCCTTCACAGGTATTTATAGTCAGATAGTTCTGAGCCAACTAGGAAGTCTGTAGAGAACAGAGAAGCAAGTTGACTTAAACCAACTGAAAAATACCATGAAAAAAGTTCAAAATAAATAATCGCTGAACTAAAAGAAGACAGGCTTTTCTTGGGCCCTGCAGCCCGCTGCCTGAGGAGCGCCAAGTCTTGGGGGTTCGATAGATTATTGCTGCACATCATTTAGTTCTGGGGCTTGTCTACTCACTCACATCTTAATTCTTTGCCAGGATAATATCCTTCCAGGAAAATTCATTCAAACCCACTTAACCAACCACCTTTCCCCATCCCTAAGCCTCTGTTCAAGTCTCACACTGTATTTGGAGCACCCCCCCATCTATGTATCCGGATATTTGGATTTTGTTAACTCACCAAGGAATCTCTTTAGATTATTTAGCTTTGGAAACTCACCTCCTCGTGAGTTTTCTGACAGGTGGAAAAAGGCAACTTGGTTTTCTGATGCGTCAGATTCTCTCTTACCAGTAAATGCAGACATCCCCTCCCTCGATTTTTGGGGGGTTAGGAGATAGTTCATTACCTTATTTTTTCCGTGCTGTTTTATCCCACTTATATGAAGATAAGAGCTCTGTTGTTGTCATTGGAATATGTATTAGGTCTTCCTTCCAAGGAGGTAAGGATTTGTGTCTGTTTAATTCATTTTTTTGTAGTTTTTGGGTTTTTGCAGGTTTTTTTATTTTTATTTTTTTGGCCGGAGCTGGGTTTGAACCTGCCACCTCTGGCATATGGGGCCGGCGCTCTACTCCTTTGAGCCACAGGTGCCACCCTGTTTAATTCATTTGTTATTGTTTCTGGAAAAACATTCCATGGAAAGAAATATTTTAACAGATGCTTTTGATACTGTCCTTTAAAGCTTCCTCTACAGCTTCTCTTACTGTTCAATTTGTATATTTCTGCCTGGGACTTTCCAGCGTCTCCATGACCAGGGGATCAGAAGAGAAAGTTTGAGAACAGGGCCAATGAGGGAGGGATCTAAGCCGAGTTTCCTTTCTACACCAACAGGCAGGCCTGACCTTAAAGGATAGTGGTGGACACAGCAACATTTTACATTTCTAACACAATGCCTTTGTTTGATTGTTTGGGGAAGAAAATGTGGGAAAAATAAATGCATGATTCTGGTCAATATGAGAGCCATTTACTGAAAAAATACATACTTTATAGGCAATCAGCTAGTGACATGATTGTGTCTTATCTTTCCCCCCAAAATGGAAATTAGGTATCATTCCATTCATCATCATATGAATGAGAAAACTGAGAGTAAGGGAGGTTTAATAAGCTAGTCCCTGCTCCAGATTTAAGCCAAAGTCTCTCTCGCTCCATA